AGGACTAGCGTTATCCGAAACCTTTGATTCTATTTCTGGCTACACTATTTACACTCGCGACCCGTTTAAAAAACAAATATTCTCGCTGCCTTGTTTACAGTTTCATTTACTAGTCATTCCAACAAAGTGATGAGTTAATCGTTACGCCAAGGTACCTGCACGTATCAATATTATAAAGAATATTTACTTCAATTGAATAGTTAATAGCATCATTAGGAAGGCGATCTGATCTTGTCAAAGGCTTATGCATTACTTTACACTTTTTATAATTTAAACTCACAAGATTTCCTTTACACAAATTGCTGATTCAATCAATCCTCCTGAAGGATACATTCATCCTTTGTTGACTTAATTACTCTGTAGACCCGTGTACATCAAAGGACTTATACACGTTAAAATAACTCTGTCTCGGCTATTAGGCATCTGGTATTATAAGAAAGACGAAACACAGCATGTCGGTGTGGCGACCTAACACTAAAAATTGGACCTCATCGGTGATTTGTACTCAGAAAATAATAAAAAAAATATATATATAATTTGAGGATAACATAAGTGCTCATAATGCTTGATTTGTTAATGCTTATAATGCTTGAATTTGTATATATAACGGTTAGTACCTTCATGAGTTAAGCAATGGTTCGTCCCACAGCCAACACTACATTCGTATCAGCTGCAAATAACATAATTTACAGATGATGCAATGGACATAAGGTAAAATATTGGAGCCTGGAGCTATCGATAACAAATTATCACGTTTAATTAAAGAATTTTCCATAATAATTACAATGTACTTTGTCTACCTCCGAACCATTGATGTACTATATATAATATATTCACGACAGTTTTGAATTACTAATAACAATCTGTTATACGATACATTCTATAGTGTTGTTTTATAAACGTATGTATACGGGTACCTTGTCATGGCTATGTCCCGTGACACGTTTAGATCGCCACAGGTTAACTCAGAATAAAGAAAGCGTATTAATAATAAATTAAGAGACAAATAACATGAAAGAATATTTCGATATGAGTTTGCGTCAGGAAATTATCATAGGAGTGATATTTTTCCCTGTGTTATTGTACCGAATACTCAGTACGTTCCCAATTTGTTTAGGGAAAAATCAATCCTATGAATGAATGACTAGGTATACCGAAGTACGTTTTGAACGGCAATAGTTTCAAATAGGCCTATAATGTTGTAGTTATCAATCACTCAAATGATGAAAAGAAAATCACCATCGGTTGTAAAAAATACAAAGTCTATATGCCACCTTTTGTGAGAAGTTGGAAGAAAAGGAGGGGTGTAAGTGTGCTGTTAGATCCTACCAAAGAAGGAGCCGACAAATAGTAAATATGTTTTGTGTCTACTGGGCTAAGAATTAACTATATGGCCCCGCCCACTCTTGACCATCACCCACAATACACTGTACACAATAAAGTAACACATGATCAGATATAGTGTGATTCGGTCGTGATTCATTACAACAAAAGGCAAAGGGACCGTCGCACACAATCGGTCCCTAAATTAATTTCCATAGTAAAAGATGAGGTAAATAAACCTCCAAGAGTGAGCTGAGGTCCTGTTACATATTTTTCGTTTAGAAACTACAGTATTTTTTTACTTAAACCAACTGACCAGGAATACGCATGTCCATACAAACACACATGTTGGTAATTTTACGTTGTCGACTTGTGGAACCTTTAGCAAACAGCATGAAAATATGGCAACAGTATCTATTAAGTCTAGCCATTAAGGTATTATAGTCCAAAATATGCCAGCAAAATACCAGAAACAGAGCAGTAGGGCCAATTAATTATGTTATTAGCATCAATGAAAGCAAACATTGCTATGTCCGAATAGGTCTATTGCATAAATATCAGTTAGTAAAGTTTGTCTGTAGGCCTACTCTATAAAAAAAATATATATATTAAAAAAAACACAGTCTAAACAGAATTCGTTTGGACGGAACAGAAAACTATCTATGATTACGCTTATTTAGAATGAAGGGACGGTTCATATATATTTTAGAAAGAAGCTGTGATTGAAAAGAAGATGAAAGGGAAGAAGAAAAAAAATGCTGGATAATTGAAGATAGCTAGTTGCAGCGGGTTGCAATGGCGATCACACCACATTTACTAAAACAAGATATGCATTCTACGGTAGGGGAACAAGTTATGAGATTCGGTCTGCATACAAATTTCACACAGAGACCACCAGCGATTATTAAGCAGAGCAATATGCAAATAAGACGCCATTGCCTATTATTGAAATCAATTTTATATAATGATCAATTACTGAATCACGTGAAACCTACGTGAAATAATTGCATGTTAACTCTCATTTATAAATAGAAATGGTAAGGGAGTAGATGTTAACTAATATTTCATTGTCATGACAATTTTCAAGGGCGTCAGATATAGAGATAGGCCTAATACTTACAAAAACAAAACTGATTATTATGCATTATCAAGGTTTATGTGACAAATACCTGTCATTTGCCCAAATATGGGGTTATATGGCATCATCGCACACATTCGTCACAAAATACCCGATAGTGTGGAGAAATCTTACGTACCGTAATAATGTTTAAACAGTATTGATAATAAAAGTGGAAATCTCGGAACAATGGTAGAGCGCCCTCGGGTCTCAAATAATGTTACGTATTATGTAGAGAAACAGTCACACTAACATTTACATTTCAATTAGATACGTCCCTCAAAAACACAACGAAACAAAAGTGTGTTAACTGACTGCTTCATTTCCATTATGCCAATGGACATAAGGATACTTTTTGGATATGTTTATATACATACACACTATATGTAAGCCCTACATTATATTATATATATGTAAGTAAAGTGTTATAGGGGCCTATAGGCCTCTCGTTGTCAAGGCGAGCGCCATAACCATCAGACTATGGAGGCTGCATGGTTGAACAGATTCAAATAACCGCCCCTCCTAACGTGAAAATTTCCTTAAGCGCCCCGTTTGAATAAGCGCCCCTTCTAATTTGTGTGCCCCTCAATAATATCATAAGATTTTCTTTTTAGCAAGTCAATAATCCAATCAATTCTGGGACTGTGGTTTTGGCATGATTTGAGCTGCAGAGTGGAATCACATTCTTCTTAGGTCAATATCAAAATGAGGATATTTCTCTCGGAAATGCGGAGAGCTCCGATCCCTACACAGACAGTATATTTCCAACTTTCCTCTTACATATTTGCCAGCCGATGGCCAACAAGCTAACCACTACCCACCACCACTAATTGCATCTGCTGTTTTGCTGTTATGTAAATATTCACAGCATTCTTGTCATGAGCCATGTTCTCTGGACGATTATCTTTTCAGCCTAACCACCATTCGTCCTTATACAATCTTTTTTCATTCAAAAAGTACCTCTTGAATTTAATAAGAATAAGAACCCCTCGATTTTCATCTATTTCCATAAGCGCCCCTCTCAATTTCCACTCTGTTTTCATAAGCGCTCCGTTTAAATAAGCGCCCTCAGAAAGTGCAAAAAAATATTTTAAGCGCCCGGGCGCTTATTCGCGCGAGTACGGTACACTCCATTACACAATAGAACAAATAGATGCATATAATATAAATCAAGGTAGCCGGCTATCTATATTTATGTCCTTTATTTGAACACTGTATTTACCTTTCTTTGATGATTTATATATATAATTTAACTGTGTTAACGGCTATCTTGATTTATATATATATATATATATATATATATATATATATATACATATATATATATTCCATCATGTCCTTATTAAACACTGTATATGTACCTTTGATGATTTATATTATATATATATATATACATACTATCTGTCTCTTATACAC